CCCCAAAACCCCAAAACCCCAAAACCCCAAAACCCCAAAACCCCAAAACCCCAAAACCCCAAATCAACTAAATGAAATTGAAAATAGGAAAAATCCACCGTTTTCTTAAGATGGAACTGGATTAGTTAGTTTTCATCAACTGACGTAGACCTAGCCATCTCTTTTACTTCTCCATAATTGAGCACAAAGGAGGACAGAAGAGAGGGGTTAATACTAGACAAGTGTGACTCTTGCCCGCATGCTAAAAACATCTGTTCATCAACCTTTGCCTCAATGGCGTAAGGTCCCATCCCAAAATATGTATGGTGTTCAACCATTGAGTCTTCCCAAATATCTTCGTCTTCCTAAACAGAAACAGTTAAATACGAACTTTAGAGAATGGGCTTACCTCTAATTCCTTCTTCTGCACGTAATTTCCTAAACTTCAGCCTAATTTTGATAGTAAAACCTCTCAAGGATTTGCATAATTAAACATAAAGTTTTGATAATTTTTTACTTTTTGATTGAAAATATCGATAGCTAAGGCCACCCACAGACTAAGTGAAGACCTAACTCTTCATTCGTCTTAACCCCTTACCTTTATCTTTAGAGACTTGAAGACGCTTATCCCTTGTATTGCACTCATTTGTCATCTTCTTTCTATATGTAGAGAGTTTTATTTGAATAGATATGAGAATTTGATTAACTTTGTGTGTAAACTTACTTAGATGTTGTATTTTCAACGTTCTGGTCTCATTCAGTTTTTGTTTTGAAGCGATCATTATTTTTAGATGACAAGATCTCTATATTTTACAATATTTAAAGAAGCATTTTTCATCAGATTATTTATATGAAGTTTTAACAAGTAACTAAAACTTAATTTTTGGAATATTATGCTTGAAATAATCCTGAAGCATGATATCATAAAACTCTCATACCTATATTTCTCAAATGAACAGGATCTTTTCTGGACTGAAAATAGCTGAAGGAGGCTTCATCTGTATTACCAAACATTAGTAAATTCATGCTGATCTCTACATCCAATATTAGCCTGATCTGGGACAAGGCTTACCGTTATTTATTGAGTCATCAGTCTCATTGGTGGTCTTCAAAGGCGAAGTATCGGTATCTTCTAAATTCTTTATTAGCGGATTTTATGAAAATAATTAAAAAACAAATCAGAAAATGTTTTACTTTGGATTATTGTATCCTTCCGAGTTTGCTCTATATCTCTGTAAGTTTCTTGAGCCACTCGCTTGGGTCGATTCTGAGGTTTATTTAGAATCAGCTTTAGGGAATCACTTAGGAGTCTTCAAGGCTATATCTGAAAAATCAGCAGATCTAGCTCTTTGAGCCCTCTCAAGCTCTTTCCTTTTAGCAATAAGCCTCTTTACTATGCTAAAGCTTGGTTTGCTCTTCTTTTTACCTCTTTCTATATGATCAGGGTTAACACAGATTCTCAAGAGTGTTAATTTGGCGACTTCGATAAATTAATTATCTAAAGAAACTAGTGAAGCCTTATTTTCTGAATGGGTATTAAATTCAAAGATATTTTAATCTCGAAACTAGTCACTAAGCTTCAGTTTTGTTCTCACTAGAGTATGCATTCACCCAATAATTTTATGATTTTGATCAGGTATTGCCTAACTTCATTGAAAATATTAGTGAAGTTAATATTAAAAATTCTATTAGTTCTGTTCAAGATTTTTACTTTTTCATCTGACTTTAATAAATATTTCTATCAGCTTGGATTAAGATTTCTTTCAACAATGCAAATTCCTGAAAATTAAGTTATCGAATAAACAAAGATAAATAATATAATCTCCATCATAAATTTAGTATACAATTTGCTAAGATATACCAATCTCTAACTTCTTCCTTTGTTTTTTTTGTTAAATTACATTAATCAACATCTTTTAACCCCCATAAAACTCTCTGATCCCCATACTTACCCCCTTTAACCCTCTTTCCAACCCAACAGCATAAACACCCTCCAACCCCCTCCAGATCTCCTACCTCCCACCTGTCCCCCAAACCCCCAAAACCCCGCAGACTTCACCAACCTTCCCCAAAACCACCTCCCCACATTCGCCCTTCCAAGCCCAGTTCTAACCCAAGCCCACAGTAGGACAGCCTGCAGTGTTGTTCTACTGCAAGGCCTCGACTAAGAACCCGAATCCACTAGGCCCATTGGGGGTCTGCCAGCCAGAAGCCAACCTCGTCCCAAAAGGTGCATGTGCTAGTGAACTTGGAAGGAGGTTTAAAAGTGGGGCTGAAGAGCAAGATTAGGGACTGACAAGGGCCCTGGCTGTAGAAGAAGGTTACGGATGGAGGCTCGAAATAGCAGAGGAACAAGGGAGACAGGCTTGAGTGGGATAGGTAAGGATGTTGGGGGGTTAGAAAGGAGAAATGGGGGATATCTAGGAGAGAAAGTTAAATTTAGAGGTGTTTGTGATGTTTTTGATAGAAGAGATGAAGGGAAAAAGGAGAAATATTGCGAAGATTGAATGTTTTTAGAGACATTTAGGGTTGAATTGGGTAGCTTTATCTAAATATATTACTTTGAGAGAATACTTTGATCTATTAGTTTAGAAAGTCCAATCAACTACATCAAATTTCTTTAACCTAATTTCCTTCAAAAATTATCCCCAAAATATGCAAATCTACTTTCTCTACATTTTCTGCCTCCTCTTTTCAAACTCTAAGAGATCGGACTCACGACCAAATAAAGTTCTTAATATCCCTCACTGATCCACTATTCCAGAAGAACTGTGAATTTTTAATATACTAAAATTGTGCGAAAAATAAGCCAATGCTGATTCTTGAAGAATGCAACTAACTCTCAAACTGTTATAGATTTGGAATACTTGAATCATCAGTGTACAGTAATGTTAAGTATTTGAGGAGCCATGAAGACCGCACATAATGACTATACTTACCACTAATGAGCTTGTTATAATAGTCCTTCCTATCTCAGTGCAGATTAGCAGTGGTCCCAGTGTCTGGTTCTTCTTGAGAATCTCTCTGTTTTCTTCTTCTAAATTTATTTAATACAAGAACTGAAAGATAGATGGGCGTTAATAAAAGTTTTATCACTAAAGTTACAAACAGAATTTAAAAGCTGAAGTTTTAGAGATTAGGATTGCCAAAATGATAATCAAAGGTTAAAGTAAGAGAGTATCTACAACCCAAGTCTAAAGACCCCTTTCCCAACTCCCTCCCATCTGGCCTTTGTCCTACCTCCTTAATGCCATGTCAAATCTAATATCCATAACTCGAAAATAATATTATTGGTCAACAAAATGCCTCATAAGTGGGGTTTTGGGGTTTTGGGGTTTTGGGGTTTTGGGG